CGCAGGCCGGAGCGGGACGGGCTGGGCGCAGGAGGGAGCAAAGCAGCGCCGGCAGCCAGCGAGTGAGCGCACGGGGGCACGGGGAGAGGGGCGCGCGGCGGCCTTGGCCCACCGGCCACTGCCGATCAGGGGGCCAGAGGCACAGTGGGTCCTGAGCGGAGTCCTGGGCTTGTGGCATCCCCCTAAGCGAAGCCCAGACTGTGCGTCCAGGCGTCCTCGGCGAGAGGCAACGCCTCCAGCCCTCCGTGCGCTGCCACCTTAGCGGCCCTGGCCCTGGGGCCTGGAAAAGGGGAGATGTGGGGTGGCCCCTGCATGCGTCCTCCCCGGGAAGGGGACGCGGGGCGCCCTGACCCGTGCTCTCCCTCCTAGGATGCAGCACCGAGCCTTCCTCCTCGCCCTCCTCGCCCTACTGGCGCTCACTTCCGCGGCAGCCAAAAAGAAAGGTGATGCGTGGGTGGGCGCGGCGGGGGCTTGGAGGAGGGCTGGGGTCAGGCCAGTGAGGCCTGGCCACCTCGGGGCTGGACGCTGACATCGGCTCCCGGAACCTCACTTTGGAGTTTCCGCGGGTCCTCAACTCTGTTCCGCACGCATTACAGATAAAGTAAAGAAGGGCGGTCCGGGGAGCGAATGCGCGGAGTGGGCCTGGGGGCCCTGTACCCCCAGCAGCAAGGACTGCGGAGTTGGTTTCCGTGAGGGCACCTGCGGAACCCAGACCCAGCGTATCCGGTGCCGGGTGCCATGCAACTGGAAGAAGGAGTTTGGAGGTGAGGTGGGGAGTCCCGGGGAGGTGGGAAGGAGGCCGGGGCGGCTGGAGGAGGGAGGCCACAGGTCCCCAGGGCCTGAGCCCCGCACTCTCCCGGCAGCCGACTGCAAGTACAAGTTTGAGAGTTGGGGCGCGTGTGACGGAGGCACTGGCACCAAAGCCCGCCAGGGCACACTGAAGAAGGCGCGGTACAATGCCCAGTGCCAGGAGACCATCCTCGTGATGAAGCCCTGCACCCCCAAGACCAAAACCAAGACCAAAGGTCAGCGAAGGGGGTGGGCTCTTCATGAGGGTCTGTGTCCCACTTGTTAAAAGAGCCTTTAAGCCCTGATCCTGGTATTTGAACATTTTGACAGCTCAGTACTCAGTTTATCTGTAAAGGGGCTGTAGAGATGGGGCACATACAAGAACTGGCCCACAAAAGGTGCTCTGGACATGTTAAATCCTCGCTGGCCCGAATGGGAACAAATGTAGCCTTCCACTTTTGAAGTCCTTGGCTTAGGGTCCAGGGCATGGCCCTGCAAGGCTTTGTTCTCTGCTTGGCCAGAGGGAGCATTTGGTCAGATTGGCCAGTTCAACCCTCCCTTCATTCATTCCTGCCTCACAACAGCATACAGAGGCCATCACCTGGGCAAGGTTAGATCAGACACTTTTCAGATGACTCTTTCAAGGGCTGCTGGGACTGGCCCTGGGGCTTGAACTTTGAGATTTATGTGGCCCAGTGGGGAATGTTAGGAGGCATCCAGATGGCTGCCCTCTCCCACCAGCCCTGAGGTCAGCCCATCCAGAACCACTAGAGGGCAGTTTTTCTTCTCCCCAGGTGTGTGCTGCTAATGAGCTCTCTCTTGTTTTACAGCCAAGAAAGGGAAGGGAAAGGACTAGAGGCCTGAATGCCAGGGAGCCTGGCTTCACCCTCCTGCAGGCCCAAGATATAACCCACCAGTGCCTTTTTTCTATACTAGCTTTATCAATCACGCTCTGCCTCTCCTCCTCACTCCGCCACATGTATCCCCTCACCCCAAGCACCCAGACTGGGGAGTGTCCCTGGATTCTGGGAAGTTTCGGCCTCCTTCCAAAAATATTTGATTCCCACTTGTGCTCCCCACTCTGTGTTCTTTCCCACAATGACACCATTACTAAGAAACAAAATAAACCACCTTTTTTTCCCAAGAAAAGCTTTTCTTTTTTAATATATAAAAGCCCCTCCCCCAGGAGTTTGCTGTGAGTGTGTGTGGAGGGTAAGAAAGTGGGTTGGCAGATCGGGCTGAAGGAGCCAGTGGCGTTATGGGGCAGGAGTTTGGCAACGTGTGCTCCCCAGAGCTAGTGGAGACGGCGGAGGGTTTACAGGAGAAATCCTGGGACCCTTTCTTGAATTTGAACCAGCCAGCACCCTCCCCTGCTACCCCCAGGTCTTTCAGCCCCACTGTGCCCCTAGTTCTCCAAGGGCCGCTCCAGGCACAAATCTGAACTGGCTCAGCCACACCCAGGCAAAGGGCATTTGGTCCAGCTCACTGACAATCAAGAATGTCCCACCTGGGGGTGGGAGAAGGAGGGATGGGGGCTGCCTTCCTCCTCCACACTCAGATCAGCCTCTTCCACGAGACCTTTCTCATTCTCTTCCCTTAGGGGTCTCGCCGCCCTTGAACTCTTAAGTTTGGAAGAGGGCAGATGGAGAACACGCTCCCCAAAGCCCCACCCTGCCTCACCTATGACCCTGCACTTTTCTTGGGGGAGAGGTGGGGTTCTTCAGAGCAATTCTGCCTGGGCCCCAAGGGTCTAGACTTAAGATTCCTGAGTGAATCCCCTTCCAGCTGCCACTCCCCCAAACAAGATGAGAACAGTGCTGGGACTGGGAGAGGGCAGACCTCTGAGCTGCTCCCCAAACCTTGGCCTGGCTATTCGGCTGCAGGGAGAAGAGAGATCTACCCCTGGAGTGGGATTTTGGGAAGAAGGGGCTGAGCCAACATGCAGGGTGCAGGGGGCCAGAAAGCACCGATTACAGCAGAATGAAGGATGTCACCCCTCCACCCCCTTCCCCAGCCTTGGTTCCTAATGGCTGGCCCTTCTCGGGGGTGGAGGGGTGTTGGCTGCCATTCCCTTCCAGATGTCAGTCCTTTGCCATGCTGATGGTCACAGTGGGGCAGTGCCCACCCAGGCCAGTCCTCTCAGTGCCCTGAGACAGGAGAGCAGAGGTGGCTGGCCCGTCCCGGTTCAGATACTCCCGGGGCTGGGCTTCGGCGACTGGTCTCAGGATCCAGCCAGAAACTTCTCCTGAACCTCATGGGGTCCTCAGGACTCCAGTTCTCTTCAACAGCATGGATGTGTGCCCCAAAATCTCTCCACCGCAGCAGGTGAGCCGTGTGGCCTCCCAACACAGCACGTGTGCCCGCCGCCACCTCGAGTGGCCCTGCCTACCTGGCGGTGCCGATGTTCCGATACTGGCACAGCAGCAGGTGCCGGAAGGTCTTTTTAAAGGTGGCATTGCAGAGGGCGTAGCAGGCAGGGTTGATGGTGCTGTTGACGTAGCACAGCCAGTAGCCGATCGACCACACGGTCTCGGGGATGCAGCTGTGGCAGAAGGTGTTCACCAGGACCATGACGTTGTAGGGCGTCCAGGTGAGAATGAAGGCCAACAGGATGGCGAAGATGGTCCGCGTCACCTTGCGCTCCCGGGCCGCCATCTGACGCTTCTTGCGCACCTGGTTGCGAGCGATGCTGGCAAACTTTCGGGCCACGTTGGCCGCCGGGCGCATGCCAGCTGGAGTGGCAGGCACAATCTCAATGGCTGTCACACACTCATTGCCTGACTGCTTCGTCACAATCTGGATCTTGGACCACTTGGAGGCAGGGTTGAGGACACGTGGCTGTCGAGAAGGAATGGGTGTGGCGGGGATGGTGGCCTCTGTGGTGGACAGCTCCGTGGGAGGTCGTTCCTTGGTGTTCTGAGTGGCACTGCCCGAACTGGACTCGTTGGAAGTGTCCTTCTCGGCCACCGGACGCGGTGGGGGTGGCAGGGCTGGCGGAGGGGCCTCCTCTAGCTTCCCATTTCGCAGCTCTTCCCGGGCAGCTTCTCCGGGAGGGGGCTTCTTGACACTCTGTTTCATCAGAGGGCTCTTGAGGAAGGCCAGGGTCTTGGCCTTCTTCTCCTTGGGGCCCTCGGGCCGGTGCTTGTGCACCCGACTGCGGCTGGCAAGGGAGATGTGGATGTACAGCACCGTCATGATGACCACGGGCAGGTAGAAGGCAGCGATGGCTGTTCCAAAGGTCACCGCCGGGTTGGACAGGAACTGAATGAAGCACTGGTTGTCAGGCACCGTCCGCTTGCCCACCACAAACTGCCAGAACAAGATGGCCGGCGCCCAGAGCACGAAAGACAGGACCCAGGCGGCGGCGATCATGAGCCCCGCCATCTTGGTGGTGCGTCGGGCTGGATAGGTGAGGGGCTTGGTGACGCAGAAGTACCGGTCAAAGCTGATGATGAGAAGATTCATGACAGAGGCATTGCTCACCACGTAGTCCAGGGCCAGCCACAGGTCACAGACCACGGCCCCCAGCGGCCAATAGCCTTTGATGATGTACACGGTGTACAGGTTCATGGAGAAGGCGCCTATGATGAGATCGGCACATGCCAGGCTGAACAGGAAGTAGTTGTTGACCGTCTGCAGCTGCCTGTTGACCTTGATGGACAGCATCACCAGGATGTTCCCTACAACAGTCACCAGGCTCAGGGAGCCTGTTACCGTGGCGATGAACACCATCTCCACGGTCTCGTAGCGGCTATGGGTTGATGTGACCAGGTGCACAGACTGGTTGCCCGAGCTACCATTGACGGGTGTGAAGTTTGCCATCTTGGTTGTGGGGGGCTGGGGGAGGGGTCACGCAGTACCTGGGAGAAAAGGAGAGAGAAAGGGGGTGAACTATTTAGGTGGGAGTCATTGAGGGAGGTCTCCTAGAGTCAAGGTGACGAAGGAACATCACCCTGCAGAACTCCAGAGAACTCTGTTCATTCACCCACTATTCACTGAGCACCTACTATGTGCTAGGCCCTGTTCTAATGCTGGGGGCTTTATAGAACCCAGTGAAACACAGACTCTACTGTCATAAAGCTTCTAGTATAATGGGTTAGGGATGTACAAATACATGTTGTTAAGTGCCATCGAGTCACAGGCGACGCTTGGGTGGCTCTCATCCTCTCCAGATTCTTAGGGTTTCTGGAGGCAAGCTATTATGGAAGTGAATGCCACTCCTCCTTCCAAACAAACACATAGGCATCCCATTTTCTAAATATCAGGCAGTCCAAAGTGCCAGGTAGAAAAACCAGGTAAGGAAGTGGTGAGTTGGACAGAATGTCAATGGTCTTTGCCAAGAGGTCAGGAAAGGCTGCCTCAAGGAGGTGATGTGCATGATGACAAGGGGGGGCCCCCACACAGGGGTGGGGAGCACGGATGGCAGGCAGGGAGGAGGTCACGGAACAGGGCCCTGGTCAGGGGAACCAATTCCTCAGCTGGCTCAGTCACGTCTGAACCAAACATCACAAAGACTTGTGTTTCCATCTCTGTCCAAGACCATGGAGACAAATACTAACAATGTAGCCTACGTCTCTTCAGTCAGTTCCTGTTCACGGACCCTCCCTCGGCTTTCCAAGGCTGTAAACCTTTGCTGGAAGGAGCTCTGGTGGCCTAGAGGCAAGAAGCTACACTGCAATCCCCCAGGCATGTGGTTCAAGGCCACCAGCTGCTCCACGGGAGAAGGATGGGCAGATCCCTCCTGAGAGATTACCTGTCTCTGGAAACCCGCCAGACTCAGCTTTGGGTTGTTCCAACTCAATGGCAGTCAACAACAACCCTTTGCTGGAGGAAACTGCCCCATGGTTTTCCAAAGGAACAGCTGGTGAATTCCAAACACTGACCTTCTTGAATAGCAGAAACCACACCAGACACCAGGCCCCCAGAGGTCCTTAAACCAGTACATTTAGAAGACACTAAACAAGCCAGGTGGACACACAGCGACAATGGCCTCAATGACAGCAGAGATTGAGTGTGGAGTAGGACAGGGCCCGTCATTTACACGGTCCCATCGGGTTGGAACCAACTCGCAGCAGCCTCTCCACTGGAGTTCTGAGGCTGTGAATCTCATGGGAGAGGCACGGAATTGAGTCGCCACACATCTCCCTGTGGCTTATGCCACCACAACTTCCCTGCTGTATGTACATAGAGACACTCTAAGCCACAGCTGACGTCGTGGCACCTAACGAGTGCTAGGCAGGCCCCAGGCTAAAGCACTCAGCTGGTGGTTTGAGCCCACCATACACTGAGGAAGAGAAAAAGGTGGCAATCCACTTCCATAAAGGTTTCAGCCTCTGTGGGAAGGAGGCGACCACCCTGACGGCTGTGGGAATATGAGGTAGATACTATATTTTTTCTTTCCTTTTGGATGAGGAAACTGAGGCACAGAAATGTTCTAGAACCTAAGGTTCCACAACCCCAGCTTGGGGGGGAAACATGGGGAAGGAGAGAGAGCCCCACTAAGGACTCCAGCAGGGAATGCACCCAAGGAGCTAAGAAGCCATGATTCCATCTCGAGAGGCTTCCCTGGGGCCCCAGCCAGGATGAAGAAAGGAGAGTCCTACACAGTGTTCACCCCTGGAATTCTCTCCCCTAACCTCATGGTTGAAGAGGCACAGGAAAAGCTGGCTAGAGTTTCCCTTTGGAAACTCAGGTCTTGGGCTGAGACACCCCCCCCCCAGAAGTCAGGGCCTAAGGGGCTCACATTTATGGAAAGACAGGCAGTTTCTAAGGCGCCAGCCCCGTGGCCAGACTGGGGTTGGAAGAGCTCCCCTGAGGGGCTGTTTCTGTGGTGGACCAGGACGTCCCCCTCACCCC